ATCTTTAGAGATCCTAATAGGACAGAGATCAAATTTCTTTATTCATGGGCTTTCTTAAAGATTACCTTTTTGTTCGGTCACATTTAACGATGGTTCTTCTGTTTGGATACATCTTCATTCCTCTCTCCATTTTACTTGTTAAAGTCTGTAGTTTGTTTATATCATGTTTCTGGTCTGTGCTTTCCTTTTGTTCAAAATGTGTTGTGATTTTTTGAATTATTAACTTTCTTCTGTTTTTGGTTTTGTGCTCAGCTCTCTAGAGAGTTTAAAAAAAAATCACTTCTGAAGTTAAATTTTGCAACTCATAGACCTTTTACTTCCAATTTAAAGTGAAGCCAGATTCCTCTCTTTACTACTTTCAAAGCTGTCAAACCAACAATTAGGTATTGAGTTCCTCTGTATAAAAAGCCATTCTGTTTGGTGTACTGTGGTGAAGTTGATTGTTGTTTTCTGATGCTTATAATGTTTATTTGGAATGTATTACATACCCTTTCTCCTCTGAACCCACCAAATACACATCTTTTAAATTGGAGCTATGTTTACAGTTACACAGTTCTGTGTTCTTAAGAATACCAAATAATATAATTGCCCCATCTCTTCAGGAGATTGTTTTGAATGATTTTTCCCAGAAAAACTTTCTAATACTTACCAATGGCAAATTTACTTTTTTACTGGCCTATTGTGATAAAGGTGCTAAAACATAGTAAAATATTATGGAGGAAATGAGGAACCAGTATTTGAACAGATTCTTTAGAAATATGTGAACCAAGTAACCATTTAATGACTTTTCTAACACATGCTCTTGATTAGGTAGAAGCTACTTAGGTTTGAACTTCTAATTGTTTTTTTTTCTCATTGGATAATTTAAGTTAATATAGTTATTTTCACTATCAAAATTGTTACTGTGTAAAAAACCAATTTATACTTGGAAATTATTCATTACTCATTTTAATATTTATAGATTTTGTATGCTAATGAAGGAGAAAGTAAGAAGGAACAAGAATTTCCAGTGGAGCCAGTGGGAGAAAAATCAAATTACATTTGTCATAAGGGACATGAATTTATTCCTACTCTTTATCATTTCCCAACTAACTGTGAGGCTTGTATGAAGCCACTGTGGCATATGTTTAAACCTCCTCCTGCTTTAGAGTGCCGTCGCTGCCATATTAAATGTCATAAAGATCACATGGACAAAAAGGAAGAGATTATAGCACCTTGCAAAGGTACGTAAACAAGCTACATGAATATTATTTATGTTCAGATCATTTTAAGCACATTAATTTTTTTTTCAAATATTCCTTTATAGTGTATTATGATATTTCAACGGCAAAGAATCTATTATTATTAGCAAATTCAACAGAAGAACAGCAGAAATGGGTTAGTCGGTTGGTGAAAAAGATTCCTAAAAAGCCTCCAGCCCCAGACCCTTTTGCACGGTCATCTCCTAGAACTTCAATGAAGATACAACAAAACCAATCTATTAGACGGCCAAGTCGACAGCTTGCTGCAAACAAACCAAGGTAATAAATTAAAAATTGAAAATTGTTTAATATTTTGCTATTTAAATCTAAGCTACAGATTTTCTAATTATAGCTTTTCTGTGCTTAGTATTTTAATGTATTATGGAATACTAAGCATTTTAAACTATTTTAATATGCATGCTTGATTTAGATGAGGGTAACATAATTACTGAATCACACAAATATTTTAAATTTGACCAAAAATATATAAAGGTTCTGTTTTTGTCATATATAATCCTGTCATACATAATCAAGTGTCTAGTACATACATTGCATTTAATATTTATAAAGCATTTTATTTTTGATGGCTTAGACAGGATTGAAATCTTAAGTCTTAATTCAAATCTGCAAATTTAAACAGAAACTTGGGTCTGATTTTAAAAAGCATTAGAGACTGACTTTTAAAAATGTAAATTCTAACTAATAGGTAAATATCCTTATAATTGAGATGGAGTTAGGAAAGTAAGATAATGTCAGGGAACACCATTTTGTACGTTAGTATTTAATTTTTTTTTTTTTTTATTGTGATTTGGGTGAAAATTTTCAGAGCAAATTCACTTTCCATAAAGCAGTTCACATACACTTTGTCTCATGACATTGACCGCAGTTCGCCACATTGCAACAGCTCCTCTCCCACTTACTCCCGATAGTCACCTCTTCCCTGTGTCTATCCCTCCATGCACGCCTGCCCCCTGAGCTGTCTCCCTGTGCATAAACAACCCTTCTTTCTCCCATGATTGTTCTCTCCGAGGAGTGTATTTACCTCAGTAAATACTCAGTTCCTATGCCTGTCTTTTGCTTGGCTGGAAGCCACAGGTGTGGGTTCAATTCTAGACCTGAAGGGCAGTTAGGAGCCATAGGCTTTATCAGACCAGCAAACCCTGGTCCCCCTCCCTTTTTTTTTTTCAAATGCTTTTGAGTTTTGTTCCACATTGTTCTCCCTCTCTATCCAGGGTCTCCTACATAGATCCCCCTCCAAGTGGTTGACATTGGTAGCTGGGCACCATTTAGTTCTTTTGCTCTCATAGTCGTATAGGCTGAGGATCGCATGGTGTCCTAGTTGCCAGGGCTAATTCTTTCCATGAATCTTTGGTTTTCTTCATTTTTTTTTGCACTGGACGCAGAGAGAACCATCGTTGCATCTAGATGGCAACTTACTAGCTTTTAAGATCCCAGTCGCTACTCACCAAAGTAGGAGGTGGAACAATGTTTTGTGTAGTACGTTATGCCAATTGAGCTTGATGTCCCCTGTAATTATGGTCCCGAGCCCACAGGTTCAACTACTTAGTCCCTCTGGGTAGCTGGCTGTGACCAAGAAGTGACTAAAACCTTGTCCCTTGTCAGTTCTACTATACACCTGGGAATTCAAATCATACAAATACACTTATAGGACCATTGTCTGCCAACCCTATACATGGTCTTGGATACACTCCCCACTTCATAGATACATCTAATAATTCAGCCTGTCCACCCATCTATCCACCCATATACCTATGTTTGCCTTCACTGATAATGCAGTACTGTATATGCAAAAGGGTTCATCTTTGTTGTCTGTACCTCCCATGTACCTCTTCTCTATGTCTTCCTCTTCCTCAATGCCACCATGTTGATCACTCATATTTGGTACATTGCCCTTCTCTTCACTCAAATCAGTACTTACCTCTACTTAACTAACAGTGTTCCCTTCCCACCCCTCCTACCCCTGGTAACCAACAAAGAAAATTTCCTTCCATAGATAAAGCTTTCCTTGATTTTTACAATAACGGACTAATACAATATTTGTCCTTCTGTGATTGCCTTATTTCACTCAGCATAATGTCCTCCAAGTTCATCCACATTATGTGGTGTTTTGCAGATTTTAGATTATTCTTTAGGGTTGAATAGTATTCCATTGTGTGTAAGTACTAGTAGTTAATTTTTAAAAATCAATTTAAAAAAATTTGATAGAGCCATTTTGTTGTGACTACGTTAAAGCAACTTAATTAAAGTATCTTGGGTCAGAATAGTCATTTTTTGTTTTGTTTTGTTTTGTTCACTAGCTACTACAGCATTTAACCAAAAAAGACTGCTATTCACTTAAGTGAGCATGAAGATTTGGTTAGCTAAAGGAGAACATATATACTTAGACCATTAGTTTCCTCTAATTTCAGGTATTCTTTTTGTTCCCTAACACAAGGCTTTCAGTCTATGAATTATATATAATGTGCATTGGCATATTATGAAAATATTATCATTCTAAAAACAAACATCTTATATGAAACTTTTAATGACAAATGTAGAATTTGTGTTTCTGCAGTGAAAATGTTAATATTTTATGTGATGTATGATAAAATTAAGTATTATAAAATAAGTGGAGAGCTCTGGTAGCATAGTGCCTACTAACCAGGCACTTGACTGCTAACCAGAAGACTGGAGGTTCAAACCCATCAGCCAGTCCTTGGAAGGAAGATGGGGCAATCTACTTCTGTAGTGATACTGCCTCAGAAACCCAAGGAGGGGTTGCTACGAGTCGAGTCCAACTCGATGGCATATAACAACAACAACAACAACAAAATAAGTGATATATAATAGTAATTAAGCTGAAGAAACACAAAGAATTAAATACCAAAGGCCATTTATTTCATGTGCCTCAAACAAAACATCTAATAAAGTTGTATTAGTATTATAAAACTATTAATGTATATGTATTTTAATACCTTATAATATGTAATAGGAGCTCTGATAGCATAGTGCCTAAGGCATTTGACTGCTAACCAGAAGGCTGGCTGTTCAAACCCACCAGCCATTCCTTGGTTGGGCAATCTACTTCGTAGTGATACTGCCTCAGAAGCCCAAGAAGGGGTCGCTGTGAGTCAGGGTTCAACTCAACGGCAGTGAGTAAAATATGTAATACATTTCAGCTTTCAAAGCACTTTCATATATATTCTTTCATTTAACTTCCTATATATTCTGTTATTTGATTTTTTTTTTTTTTTGAGGCACCAGAAGATCCAGGGCTACATGTATCAGAATCTTAAAACTTATTTATCTTTTTAACAGAAACAGTGTGTATGTGTGTATAATATATATATAAATCCTTGTTCTTTTCCATTTCTAAATATTAGAAAGTTAATAGGTTAATTATTTGGGAAGAAAATAACAAAGTTATGTACCAATTTGAAGTGTTAAAGATAAACCCATAAGTGAAGTAATGAAAATAGGTGAACATGTATATGATTTTGGGGTTAGAGAAGGACTTTGAAAGAATAGGAGCAAAGAAAGAAAACATAAAGTCAAAGATTAGTAGATTGACTACCTGAAAATTAAAGCCTTGTAAATTTTTAAAATACTATATATTTACAATATATATGATAAAAGTAGGTTAGTATCTTTTTATATAGAAAAAGTTCTTGTAAATCATTAAGGAAAAGAAGATTGCCTCTTCCCAATGTAAAAATTAGTGAGGGACTTGCAGGCATAATAGATAATAGCTGTTAAATATTAAAAAAAGTAAACAACCTGATTATTAAACAAATTCAAATTAAGTAGTAGAACTAAAAATTCATGCAGCCTTTCTTTGATGATGTTTACAAGCCTGAAGTTTATATCCATTCGACAGTTCTCTGTACAGTGTTGTGCATAGAGGTTTGAACAAAGTGTTATATGGGAACACAGAAAAACATGAGGGTGTTAAGAGATCTCAAAAATTGAAGGATCAAATAAGGGAATAAGGGAAAAGACAGTTCTAGGCATAGTGTCATATGTATTAGTAAGTAATCAGAGTTATTTGTTTATAATGTTGTATTGTGTGGCATTCGTGGTTCAGTGGTAGAATTCTCACCTTCCTTGCCAAAGACCAGGGGTGTGCACCTCATACGCATTCACCACTTGTCTGTCAGTAGTAGCTGGCTTGCTTGCTGCTGTGATCCTGAGTGGGTTTTAGCAGAGCTTCCAGAGTTAAACAGATTAGGAAGAAAGGGCTAGTGATCTGCTTTTGAAAATCAGGCAGTGAAAACCCTGTGGATCACAATGATTTGATCTGCAGTGGGTCATGGGAGTGGTGCAGAACCAGGCAGTATTTGTCCAGTTGGGTTGGTGGCTAACTCGACAACAGCTAACAGCAGCAGCAGTGTTGTATTGGGTGGGACTAGGAAACACATAGGAGCCCTTATGGCATAGTGGTTAAGTACGTGGCTGTTAACTGAAAGGTCTCTGCAGGAGAAAGATGAGGCAGTCTCTTTCTGTAAAGACTACGGTCTTGAAAACTGTGGGGGCAGTTCTACTCTGTCCTGTAGAATCATTGAATCAGAATTGACTCCACAGCAATGGGTTTTTTTTTTTTGGAGAGGATAATGACAGAGGTAGACGATGAAGCTGGAAAGATAGCTCTGAGCCAGATTAAAAAGAGTCATGGATAATATGCTAAGTTGATGTGCTTGAGTTTTAATAAGACCCTAAACTAAAGTACTGATTGTGAAAATGAGGAGAAGAAACCAGGTTTCAGAAGAATTTTTTTTTTCTTAATGTTTTCTATATTTAAAAATATATATATTGTGTTCTCAGTGAAGATTTACACAGCAATTTAGGTTTCCATCCAATAATTTCTACACATATTTTTCAGTGATACTGATTCTTTCTTCGCAATGCATGACCATTCTCAGTTTTTCCATTTCCATTAATACTGTTTCCCTGCCCCCTTACATCCTCATCTTTATGTTAAAGTAATTGTTGGCTGTTTGTTTCATGTATTTTTTTTTTTTTTTTAAAGGAGCACAGTACTCACAGGTGATATTCTAATTAGGCACCCATTTCTAAGATTCTGGAAGGATATGAGTCTTAGTTGTCTAGTGCTGCTATAATAGAAATAGTATAAGTGTATGGCTTTAACAAACATATCTGTTTATTTTCTCACAGTTTGGGAGGCTACAAGTCCAAATTCAGAGTGACAGCTCTAAACCAAAAACCAAACTCACTGCCATCAAGTCAATTCTAAGTGACCCCCTTTGGTTTTCCAAGGTGGT